ACAAGTGAAACATTCACTTACTTCTAACTGGTCGGGTGAAGCTTCCATTTCATCATTCACATCTGCCCATGCACATCCAAAATGGCTTTGAGCATTTGTTTCAGTACAGGTCTTTGAAAGAAGAAGAGCAATGAAACAGATATTTTAAGTTGCTTAAAGGAGCAGGAAAAATACATGAAGCCGTAGAACATACACTAGGGCTGTCTGTGCAAGCAGCCAAGATTAAGCAAAAGGTGATGGAATGTTGACTTTAAGCTCTTCCTCCTTCCTAGCTGGGGCTTCCCAGAATGTTTAAAGCACACTGCTTATGACTAATGTACAAGGCAAGACAGTACTTTGTTTCGTGTGTATGTAAATTACAATGGACTGGCCAATTCACTCCTGAGAGAGGAAGTTGCACATTTAAGGGAAGGAAGAGTAAACTTTTTCAGTAAAAAAGAGGACAGGGTTTTCTTTCCCCAGAACCTGAGAGATCTGCTTCCAGTTGAAACAAAGCATTATGCAAGTATGACAAGTATTATGTGACAGCAAGGGAGGGTCAATTATCGTGACAGAAAAATGAAGTGAGTCATGCTTGCAAAGGAGCAACATTAAAGTCTGTTAACAGCTATCGGGAAGAACACACCCTTACAAAACCCAAGATGTTTGGCGGAATCCCAAAATTGAAAAATTGACTTACTTTCCCTGAAGAAAAGCTGCACAAAGTTTCAGAACAACAGATTTCGTTACTCTTCTCTTAAGGACCTATTATTTGCAGTTATAGTCACTTATCCCCTCTAAGCACAGATCTAGCTTCAAGACGCTCCAGTCTGTTCTCAACACTTCAAACTTAGGCCTTAGTTTCCCATTTGGAAAAAGAGGCTAATACTACCAAATCAAAGAAAAGACTCACAGAAAAGATTAACAAATAAAATGCTTCCACCAAATTTTCAGAAACAAAGTCAGAAGGAAATAGAAAAGCACAAAATATTGTTATCTTCAGTCTTATAATTCTGAATAATAATGCAGTTGAGAAGGAAATGTGAAAGAAAAATCATTTTCCTTATTGTGGAAAGATCCCTGGGTCTGAGCTTTTTTCAGCAAAAAAAGGATAAAAAAAAAAACTAACCTGTATAATTTAACACAAAAGAATATAAATCTTTGGAAAAGCTTCCAATTTCCAAAAAATGAATTATACAAGCTACATTAATTCTTTGAAATGACAGAATTTAACAGCACTGTTCCAAAACTCTGGTTGCTAATGTGTGACTAAGCAACTCCTTCTTTGTAGGCTATAAAACCCAGTTGGGAAGAAAGCTACTATTTAAAAATATTCGCACATCAAATATATCCTCTCCACCCTGATGTTCCTTTTTAAATTGTTCAGTTTTATGGAGCAGCTGGAAAACTTGCGAGAAATTAAAAGACAGATTTAATTTTAGATAGATTTACATGTTAGATTCTACACAGAAGTTATTCTGCCCATCAAAAATAAAAGAGTTCATCTATATCTATATCAAAACTAGTCTTTGGGCAAATATCCCTTCCAGGTGCAGCATTGGTTTAAATAGAAAAAGACTATCCAGTTATGACTGGTAATAACAGCAATTTCAGCTGTTGCTTTTTTTGCCATGGTTTTTGCCAGTTTTGCTTTTTCTGTAGTGATTTCTATACTGTAAAAAGAATACCTGCCGGTAACTATCAGACGACAAAACAAAGTAAATCGCTTTATCACCCGAGCAAAATTAACTGAAACAGGAAGGCTATCCTCTCGAAAACAGAAATGCAATAAGGCCAACTTTTAAAATGAACAAGCACATCACATTACATGAGAGAAAGTAGTAATAATTAAACTGTAAAGTCCCCATAGTGGGGAAGGAAGAGGAAGGACCACACATTTTAAAAATGAGACAGAGTATGGTAATACATTTGTTAAAGGTTTATGTCAAATCACCTAAGGACTTCAAAGCCCTTTACAAAAGCAGGTAATAACCCTATTTCACACATAGGAAAACAGACCAATTGAATGCTAAAAGTCATCCAGATGCTAGTGTCAGATCAGAGAGTGAATGACATGTCTCTCTCATCCACGGTCTGTCTGCGGCTGTCACAGGCGCTTCTGCAATGTCTGTAGCAGGATGTCACTGCATAATTTGTGCTCTCACTCCCAAGAAGGGAGAAAAAATATTTTCTAGACTGAAGGTACTGCACATGAAGAGTCAAAAATCAGATGACCTGCTGATGGAGAAGATAATGTCACTGGACACAAGTAACTGGAACAGCAATTATCTATCATCCGATTACAGTGTCCTGGTACCTTGTGTAGTATCTGCTCCAGTCCTACAGACAACAAACTCTCAGAAAGAGTCTGTTTGGTCCTTTTAGTATCAACACTGAACAACTAACCAATTCACAAAAATATCATCCAAAATTCCCAGATGCATGCTTGACACTAAGTCCTCAGTTGTTAATAACTTAATAACTGCATTAATCACTACTAAAAAAGAATGGTTATCTCTCGGAGCAGAGGAGCTGAAGGCTATTGGAGGCTGCCACTTTACATTATAGTACAGAGTTGCAATCTCATTGATGCTACAGTAAATCTCAGCTAATTCCCCTTCTTTCTATTTCCTCTCCTGACAAGGCTAATGAAAATCTGTCAAATGTTAATGTTTTGATGATACTGTTTTGTGAAAAATACAGATTTCAGCTGAACAAGAAAAATCTTGATGAAAGGTGAAATTTATAGCGATTTCGCTAGCTATGACACTATTCCTTTTTTAAATAGTTTCATGGAGCTTAACGAGAGGACTACTGAAAAAGTCTCACAAGTGCTTTTGGAAGTGAAGGGGTAGGCATCAGGGTCAGAGGATCTTGGGCAGTTGTATCTTCTTTGTCCTGAGCAAAATCTGCCTTAGGGAGGGGAGCTAGTGGACTATTCAGCAGCGAGGCCAGAGCACAGAATAACTAGTGTAAAATCCAGAATGACACTATGTCAAGTCAGCAAGATCCTTGGAGGATACCCAAGCGGCCTTTAAACTGAGCCTGCTGCTGGAAAGAGAGCGTTTTAAAAGCCGTGTTGCTGAGAGCTGCCGGAGCTTTTCTCTGATTTTATGTTGCTGTTCTGCAGGAAAACAGGCTCACCGGTAAGAACCTGTGTGTCCAGCATTTGGGGTAGTGCCATCTGTGAGTACTGAATACCTAGGACAAGAAGCAAAAGGGCTGCTGTGAAAGAGGGCTGGCAGAGAGGTGAAGATCTTGGAACAGGGGAGGCTGAAATAGTAACAGTGTCCCCCCATGTCTCTTTTTTTCAATGCCAAAGTCACGGGCACACTAGTTCGTTTGCAGTCTGTCTACGGCTAAGACTATCATAGTGACTGAGCAGCAAAAGCCGTCATCTTTTCCCACACTAGAGCTATGAATAACAAACAGCAAAACTTGAAGAAAAGCCTTAAAATAGCCATTGCGTGCTGCAGTTCTTAGCACTGTCAGTGAACAGAATTCTTACTGGCCTTATTTATTGGCCAAATATTTCAAATAACATTATTATCTTGTTTGAAAAATGCATTCTCCCCTGCTAACAACCAATAGGCTTTGAACCAAGGACGTCTGTATGCAAACTTCTGCCTTGGTTACTGGCATTCGACCCGACATATACACGTTGAAAACGGGGACAAAATTTCCTTGCATCATCCTCCCCCCTTTGCCATCCTTCTTCACTGCAGGGATTTTAAACAAAATATGACAGAACAGAAATGACATTAAGTGCTCTTCAGCATCTTACTAGGCCAACTTGCTATTCCTATGGATAATTCTGATGCACCTTTGCACAATGCCTAAGGTCAGCTGCTTTTCAAGAGATTTGATATGAAATACATCTCAAGGGCTAGAACGTGCTGCTTAAGAACAACGGTGCAGTTCAGCTGTGTTAGCAACTTGATGGGAGAGATGTGTCTTGTTCCCTCCCTCACAAAGGCTTTTCTGTACTGATTACCATCTAAGAACAGTACCGGCTACTGGAAAGAGAAGAGTATGTCTGAAATCTAAAAGAACAGAAGAAAAGCTGGTAAGTAGTGACCAAAAACTCAGCCTCTTCAGAAGTGCTGGACTTCTTCCAGTGAAAACTTAGAAACGTTCAAACAAAACTGTCGTCTCCCTCTGAAACCAACTGCTGACACTTAAAAGAAAGATGAGAAGATACTTATTTTCAGTAGAGCTGCTGAGCCAAAGACACTACATTTGTTTAGCAATCTACTGCTATGCAAATGAAGAACAACTTATTTTTAAGATAGCACCGCAGAGATCTGAAGTATATAAAAATCTTTGAAAGAAGAACTGTTTTGAGAGCTATCAGCCTTCAAAAGTCAAAAAGGAAGAGTATTTTTAAGGTATTTATAATTGGTTGGAAGCCGTTGAATCAAACATGCAGTTTTAAACTACTCGCAGAATTCCAGCTCAAGACCAGACTGTAAAGGTGGTTGCAAACCTAAACAGAAAAGAGGACTGTTTACAGATCCAAACAAACTTTTTAAAAGCTAATAAAATTTCCCAGCCTGCAAAACACAACCAGACCAGCTACAGATTTTGCAGGAAATTTATACCTCGTGTGGACCCAAGTAGCAAGCTACAGAGTCACAGGAAGCCCAGAGATGGCAAAAAATGAAAGTCAGAGAGGGTGTCTGCACAACGTAAATGGGTCTGCACAATACATCACGGCAGCAAGCTCTGGAGGAAAACACAGACTTACTTCTTGTCCTGCCTTTGGACAACACTGCTATGTTTGTTAGAAGTAACACTTTTGCAAGCATCTACGGAAAAGGACAGATTGTAACTGAGAGAAATTAAAGTATGCCTATTCTGCACAGTGACAATGAGATCAGTAAGGTTCTGTACAGGGAGGACGTCAGCACTAACAAAGGCCAATTCACCCAAGAAACTGAGCAACTGTTAACAGCTATTGACTGAAATCGCACTTCAAACATGGATGCATGCTGGATGGTGCCATGCAAATTAGCACCATAACTAACTTCACCACCCCCAACACTGCAGTAAAGAGTTTGCAGGTGAAAGCTAGTCACTTTGAGTACAACAGTTAAGAAACAAGTTACTGTGATGCAATCATTCCTATTTCA